ACGTCGCAGAAGAGGGCATACAATGAAAGAGGGCACTCCACTTAGCTCACAATTAATCGTATCATCTGAGGTTTCATTCTGGCTCTGGAAACAATGGGAACCGTAATTACATGTCTAAAGCCCCAAATGGAATCCCACAAGTGTTTGACAAGGAGAACAGAAGGATGATGGAGTGCTTCACCCATCAGCCTGACCACAGGGCAGCCCTGGTGAGTCACGCTTTCAGGCCGCGGTAGGATTTCTCATTACCCTCCATTCTTCTCCCTGAGTATCTTGAGCTCATAGCTGTGTGATGGATGTGACTCTGTTTGTGAATCCAGGCTGGCCTGCTGTCTTCCTGGATCTGACCCCTATGGAAGAGCCATGTAAATTAGCATGGGACTTGGGCCAGGAAAAATGAATCCAGGCCTCAATGCAATCAAGTAACAGGTGTCAAAGGGCAAACAGAGAGGGAAGTGTGACTGGGGCCAGGGATGCCCTCTTTTAGAGGTTTCGCTACTTACCACCTGGTGATCATTTTTTGTTTCTGTTTTTGTCACTAGAAAAGTCGCAAAATGTAAGAGGAGCTGATGGAAGTCTTTCCAAATCTGTATGGGAAGAGAAAAGAGTTCTCGCTGAAAGTGGGATTAAGGCGTTCAGGGAGGGCTTCCCTGGCACCAGGTCTGAGTGGGCCTACAGGCCGGGACCCCTCACCTTGACCTCAGCACCCAGGCCATGCCTGCACAGCGCTCGCCGCACTGGGTTGTTTATTCACGTGTTTCGTGGTGTTCGTCTGTCTCCCCCGTTGGACTGAGTTCCCGGGAGGCTGAGAATCACGTCTGTCTTGCCCACCTCTGCCCCAGTAAGTGGCACAGGCGTTGCAGGAATGCACAGAGATGCCAGATGCTACCCAGCCTCCCTCTAACGAGAGCAGGCTCCAGGGTTGGCCGTGCCCACGGTTCGCTGTGCGCCTGTCCTTCACAGAACCCCCTGCTGGCTGGCAGCTCTCACGTCCTGCTTGGGCGTGGGATGCCTTGAACACTCATCAGGTTTTCTTCTAGCTGCCCTGGCGAGCTGCCTGGTGAAACACCACCCAGAGAAACGGAGACAGAACGTAAGGAGCCCTGGCAAACTGGAGAAGGGAAGGCAGGGGCTGGGGCGAAGGGTGGGCTGGACCCAGAGAGTAGCAGGTCGCGAGAGAGCTGGGGGCCCAGAGGGGCTGGAGGTGGAGGGCAAGGCCACGTGGAGGGCAAGGAATCAGTGTAGGCTGAGCACGCTGGGGCGGAGACCCAGGCGCAGCAGCTCCCCGTGTCACAGGACCCCACTTCTCCGCCTGCAGAGCCCGTGCTGAGAGCAGTAACAGTAACTGGCGTCCACTGAACTCTCACTCTGTGTCCTCCACAGACTCTCCCCGTGGGAGTGACCGACCCAGGCTGGGGACGGGAAATTGTCAGAGCTTAGAGGTCACAGAGGTGAGGCTTTGACATCCGGGATGGTATCGTCGTTCGGGAACTAGCAGTGTCCCAAGTCTCTGTCAGTCAGTCCCCCTCCCCTGAGGTGTGATTGTGTGTCACCGCGGAACACCTGTGATAGCACGCAAGGAACAGTGGCAGAATGGCATCCCAAACACACGGCCTTGTGATATCCCAGGGACCCCAACACAGCGCTCACGGGTTGAGGTGGATCAGAGCCTGCCGTCTAGACTGACGACCACACAGACACGAAGACCTCCTCCCCCGCAAGGAAATGTAAATGATAGAATTAGCGAGTTACGACCGTCTGTAGGGAGAGAACAAGCACAGGCAGCCAGCAGTGTCCTGGACGAGGTACGTCAGAGGGGCCGCTGCCTGGGAACACGCCCTCAAAGGGTGGCGGCCTCTGAGCCTCGCCATTCTGTTGGAAGCTCTTCCTTGGAGGACAAGGATGTGTCACAAGGAAGGGGCCGGGCCAGGATGCAGGTGGACGGGCAGAAGCAGGAAGACGCGGGAGGGGAACCATCTTCCCCTACAGCAGTCGCAGTAATAGTAATGATGATGATAAACATTTAGATGCTATCTGCAGAGTGCATCTAAATGTGCAGTTTAACCTATAGGATGATCATGCTGGGAGCGGTTCTTTGCCTTGAGATAAGCACATTGCTTTAGTGACCCGTCCGAGACCACAAAGCCAATAAGTAGCAGAGAGAGAACTCAGTACCACCAGCGTAACGTCCGCCACGTGGTGACCGAGTTAATCTCGCCAGGGAATGGGATTTGGATACAAGGGCAGACCTGACGCTGTGCCCATCATCCCAGCCAGGCCCTCTCCTTCCTACCACCGGTCCTTGCCAAAGCATCTTCCTTGCTGACTCCCAGTAGAGGAAATTCTCTGTCTGGCTGTACCTTTCCAATTTATAATTCTACGTAATTTAAAATCTTTCCAATGATGGATCAGTTCTTAAAGGTTAGTCACTAGTATAAGATGTGTGGCAATAAGCACCATCTGAATGTATTGGTAACTCGCTGTGCGCAGAACAGCACGTCTAGGTGCTGGGATGGATAGAGCAGTGAAATGGGCCTCAGGATATGACTGTTCATTACAACAAAAAGATGTCATTTCAAGTTCCTGAGAGAAAAGATGGACTTTATAATAAACGACGATAGAATAACTTGTCTGTTAAAAGAAGATTCAGTTGGCTCTTTGCTGCTTACCATCAACATATAGATGCGTCAAATATAAAAATACAAAGCCACAAATGTCCTGGATAAAAGCATAGATGACTATTTTTATCATCTTGGAATGAGGGACTTTTTCATCCCGACATTATATTGATACAGCACATAATTTTAAATTTCATACAGCAGAAAATTACAAATAACATTTAAAGAGAAATAATAAACTGGGAAAAATATTTGCAAACTGTATAACAGACTAAGAGTTAATATCCTTACTGATCACAGGTCTTCTACAAATCAATAAAAGGAAACAAATAGCCCAATAAAAATGGGAAAGGAAACACATTAAGCTTTTTACCAAAGAAGAAATGCCAAACGTATAAAAATATACTCAACTCTTAATAATAAGTATAGTGACACAAATAACTATACTGTTGTGGGTGCGTGTGTTTACCTACCAAGTACAAAGAATAAAGAGACTGAGCGAAGAATGTTGCCAGCTTGCTGGGAAATGCTTATTCTCATGAACTGGTAGTTGGCACGTAAACTGACATAACTTCTGGAGAAAAGTTTAGTAACATATACCCAAATGTAAAATATACACACTTACCCTTAGCCCAAGAATTTCAATTCAAAGAATTCATTTATTTTTCTTGTGGTAAAAGACAGGTACTATAAAATTTACCATTTTAACCATTTAAAAATGTACAGTTTGGTGGCATTAAGTGTATTCACGTTGTTGTGCGCCCATCACCTCCATCCATCTGCAGAACTTTTTTCTCTTCCTCAGTTGAAACTCTGCACCCATTAAACACGAACTCCCCATTCCCCCTGCCCCCCAGCCCCTGGCAACTGTGTCCTACTTTCTGTCTCTAGGAATTTGACGACTCAAAGAATTAATCTTAAGGAGAAAATTGTCTAAGAGCAACATATACATCCACGAAAGATGGATTCATTCAAAAACCATTTCCTGAGGACCTACTGTATGCTAGGTAATAAACAAGATAGACCAGGTTACCTGATGTACGCACAAGTCGTGATCAAGAGAAGGTAGACCGTGAACAAACGTGTAAGGAATAGAGCATTGGGTTGCCATAAAGACTCTGAAGAATGTAAACAGATTTATGTGACAGTGATTTTGGGGGGTGGGTGCTTTAGATAGGGCAGTAAGAAACAATTCTCTCAAGCACTATTTATAATAGCCAACAAATCAGAAAAACTAAGCATCCGGGCAACACCCCTGCTAAGGCGTAGAATCCATCTGGCCAGATGTCAACATGTGCCAGTTCATTATAGACCGCAAGAGACTTTCTCAGAACGAACTCCCTTAATTCAGTGTGTCTTCTGTAGAGTATTTTCCTGGAGGGCAAAAGTTTCCAGCATTTGGGGGTAGAAAATAATTTAGCAGGGGCGCACGCCAGTGCTGCTTTATTCCGAGAAGGAATGTGTGGATGACAGTTTCAAGTGTTTGATGTCCAACCCCTCCTAAAACTGTAAACTAACAGCCAGACGGGGAAGAGGCTGATCTAAATCTTCTTTCTGTGGTTTTACGTTTGCTCTGGCAGGCTGAGCAACACGAAAAAAACTACAGTGCGTGCATGGGAAACATTCTTCCCTTTTTCTTGAGTAACTGACATGTTGGAGGGCGGGCGTGAGTTAGGGGCGATGGCGTTGCTGTGATACACGGACGATCGAAATAGCATCAAGGGCCCGGCCTATCCTGAGCCCAGGCAGGAAATTCAAGGGTAATATAACACTTCACCGTTAAGTAATGCCATTGGAATAAAACCATGTTTGGGATGACTTTTGGCTTTCACTTGGAATTTCTGTTTCATTCGCTTCCAGAAAGAACTTTCCCCCCTAACGTTCTTAACTTGCATTTCAAAAGTTTTTGTAGCTTTATAAATAGGATGTATACGAACTGGCCTTGACTTAAAGCTGTATGTCACAGAACATGCTGGAAAACACATCCAATCCAGGACCTCCGTTTTCACTATGGGCTCCAGGGCAGCAGCTTCAGGAAATGGAAAGCGAAAGTCACAGGTTAGAGACCTCACTCTGCTACCTATTAGCCGGGTGACCCCGGGTGGATTCTTTGACCTTGGAGCCTGTAGTAGAGGAATAACAATAGTACCCGCTCAGAGGGGTTTTGTGAGCATAAAATGCAAGAGCACGAAGGCCCGGTGCTAGCGAGCAATACAGCGCTTTCCTTCTTTCCTGGGCTTCAAAACTGAGTCGGGCATGATTGCCACAGAGTAGAAAAAGACTAAAATGGAAAATCAAAATTTATTTTTGTCTGAATAACTTGGCCATGGTTTGCTTTTCCCTGTTGGTTTTAAGCCATATTCCTCCCGTGCTGCCTCCTAGGCTGAGTTTCTGCATGATTGAAACACCATCTTCAGTTTCAAAGGAGCTCAGATGCACTGGAGCATCTCCAGATACTCGGATGGTGCAGGAGACTCAGACCCACGGCAGGAACTGGTGAAGGATCTGCAGGTATTTAACTGGGAGAAAACGCTGAGGGGACATGGGAGTTGCCTCCAAATACCTGAAGGGTAATATCATGTGGAAGAGAAATTAGATTAATTCCGCCTCTGGCTCCATAAGTGGAGACAGATTCTAGTTTTATGGATCGAAAACCTTAAAAAAAATCAGATTGTCAAGGAAACATGCTATCTTTTTTTTTTTAACATCTTTATTGGAGTATAATTGCTTTACAATGGTGTGTTAGTTTCTGCTTTATAACAAAGTGAATCAGCTATACGTATACATATATCCCCATATCTCCTCCCTCTTGCATCTCCCTCCCACCCTCCCTATCCCACCCCTCCAGGCGGTCACAAAGCACCGAGCTGATCTCCCTGTGCTATGCGGCTGCTTCCCACTAGCTGTCTGTTTTACGTTTGGTAGTGTATATATGTCCATGCCACTCTCTCACTTTGTCCCAGCTCACCCGTCCCCCTCCCCATATCCTCAAGTCCATGCTCTAGTAGGTCTTTATTCCCGTCTTACCCCTAGGTTCTTCTGATGTAGGGAATTCCAGAGGGATCCTATCCTTCACTTCGTGGGAGTCCTACAGGGAATTCTGCATCAGAAAAGGCTGGGTGAGCTGCCCTTTTAAGGTTCTTTCCAGGTCAGGGAGGCTGCAATTCAGGTAGCTACATAAATGCAACATTTTGCTGCAGGAACTTAAGGAAGAACAGCCCGGGGAGGTGTAAGGCGCACACAGGGGCACACACATTGTGCGGACGCGCGAACTTTAGCCTTCTATAACAAAAGAACGTCATGCCACGTTAGAAAAAAAGGCCTTTAACTGCGAGAAGCGAAAACGTTCATGGTTTAGCGGATCGTATTTTACAGGTTCCTGTAGACACAGGGGCCAAATGAAACCGAGCCACGATCTTAGGCATCAAATTACACTTCACTTTTACCTTTTCCCCATGTGATTCTGACATACGTGATTAAAAATGAACCCGAACCTTTGACCTACCCATTTGGGTTTAGGGTTCCCCCTCCGTTTATTTTCTCTGTTCACCTGCAAACCTTTGCTGGTCGTTTTATAGAGACTTGGTCAACTGCTTTCAACAGCTTAACATTAAAGCCACTGAGAGCATAAACAGGAAGCTGGTGTTTAGGTGGGAGTTCCTAGGAATTTTATACCACCGACCACAGAGGCCAAGAGAGAAAGGAAATAGGAAAAACAGTGTAAATACCTGGGTGACTAATGACTTAGCGCAGCTCAGCTGGCTTTTCTGAACACTTAGCAGGAAGTCCTTCCAGGGGAAACACCCTTCACATTTTTCAGGACCCCGCAAGGCACCGAAGGGCCAGATCGGGGCGTTTGCTGGTTAGCCTGCAGACTCTGCCCACGTCTCCAAAACGCCGGCTCTGTTTGCATGCGCGCTGCAGACCGCTCGCCGAGCGCCTGGGCTCCAGGCCTGGGGCTGCAAAGGCTCGGAGGGCCACCCCCTTCCCGGTTCACACGGCGAGCGCCTAAGAGGATTTAGAATCAAGTGGGCACGTTTGCAGGCCTCGCTGTGAAGAGGCAGCTGGAGCGCGGCGCAGCCCCCCGCGCCCCGGGGCTGCATTGTCCTCCGAGGGGCCGCCGCCGGGGCTCCTTTGTGCGCGGGGCCGGCCCTGTCCTCCCGCCTGGCGCCCCCGCCAGCCCCTGCCCCCCCGACGCAGACGGCTCCCTCCGGCCGCCGACCCGCCGGCTGCCGCGGTCCCCGCGCGGAGGAGCGGGCAGGGCGGCGGGCGGGCCATCTGCACGGAGACTGACGGCGGCCCCGGAAGGTCAGCGCCCCGACGACCGTCGTCTGAACAGCAGGCCACCCGGGCCTCCCAGCAACACAGGGACATCTGCTCCCCTTCATTCGGAGCCCCGGTTCCGATTTCACCAGAGGGCCCCCCTCCCGCCGACCCGGGCTCCGCGGAGGGGGGGGGACGGGGACCCCCGAGGGGCCAAGCAGACGCGCCGCTCGCCCCCCCCACCCCCCGCCCCGATCTGGGGCCGAGCGGCTGAGTCCGGCGGGGCGGGGGAGGGGGGGTCGCCCACGTGACCCAGGTGACGTCGTGCGGGGGAGGGGCGGCTGGCCGAGTGGGCGCGCGGGTCCCCGAGCTCGCAGCGCGCGCGGAGGCGTCCCGGGTCTGCAGACGGGGCGGACCCGGATCCCGCCCTGCGAGGAGGAGGGGTCGGGCAGCCCCGCGGACAGAAGGGTTTGGGGCTTTCCCACCTGCACTGGGAAGAACGGCGAAGGCGCGGGAAAGTTCATAGCGAGCAGAGAGGGGCATCCATCAGGGTTCTTCGTGCAGGGCCCCGGCGGGCAGTTGTAAAGCCAGCTGTCAGCGGGCGAGGCCGGAATCTTGCCTGGACGGCTGGCACCCAGACTCGTCCTGCCTTTCCTGCTTCATATTTTGGCGAAACGATGGAAGGATGAGAGGACAGCGTTTCTGTTGAGTTTCCACCCCTAGATCATAAGCTCCCTGAACACAGACGCTGCATCTTATTCATCATTGTCTCCCCGCCTCACACAAATGTTTGGACGACGCTAGACTAACGTGCGAAGGGCTTGGGGTGTGGTCCTTGTGACCTCCGGGTCCAACTGCTGTCGTTTCCATTTGACTGAAACCAGGGCGTTGTGGAGAATGAACTTGTGGCTGCAGGGAGGTGTTATTTCATCGCTTTGCACCCTCTTTCCTTCTCCCCTGCTTTTCCACAGACGTTTTATGGAGTGGCCCTGTGAACGAGGGAAATAAAGAAACAGGACACCCAGGCCTCAAGGTGTGGGCCGTTTGCCAGGGATGCTGTGCAAAAGGAAACAGCTAACCAGGACTCTGGGTGATGAGCGCTATTGACAGGAAATGGGGGGCGGTCCCTAGGGTCTAAGCAGAGGTGGGAAGCCGGGGTGGAAGTGTACCAGGAGAAGGCCTGCTGCTGACGCGGTGCCCTCTGCATGGATCCCCCCCCCCCCCTCCCCAGATCGGTTTATCTCCTGTTCATTCTTTAGGCCTCGGGTGAAATGTGACTTCCCTGGTGCCTCCGTAAGAGAAGGTCTTCCTATTAAGTGATTCTGTAGCACCTGGCACTTTTTTTTTTTTTTAAATACTCCTGACCGGTCCAGTTGGGCAATGTTCATCACCCCTATTCTACTGTAAGCTCTGGATGCAGAAACCGGCCTTTCTGTTCGTGAACAGAGTCTGCATACCCAGCCCGGTGTTCCCTAAATAATTTGTTGGGCTGATGAATAATCAGGCTTTCCTTAAGTTAACGAGCAGCTCGTTGCTAGAGTTTCTGTTCTGGGCATGAGGGCAGGCGGTGAGCGTTCCACGCCGGTCCCCCCGGGGGAACCACCTGGAACAGAGGAGCCGTGGTGTAGAATGTATTATTTTCGTGGTCTCGTGCAGCTCGGTGATCTCAGAACTGTTTTCTGTAGAACCGTCGTGAGGTCGGGTGCTGTCACGAAGTGAGCCTGAGGACGGGGCTTGAGGCGGGACAGACAGGGCTCTGCGCTGCAAGGAGTTCAGAGCCTTGACGGGCCTGCTGCCCTGTGTCCCGGCCAGGAGCATCCGCGTAACACTTCGCAGCTGGGGCTGTGGATGGAGCTAAATGGTAACTTCGCTGCCCCGGTTCCCCCATCTCTTCCTGGGCCCCGGGGCTGGAAGGGCCGGCCATGGGAGAGCCAGACAGGATTAATTTGCCCCCATCAAGGTTGGCTCCCTCATCCTGGCCTCTTGGTCACATCCTGGGACAAATCCCTCCCTTGGTTTTTGGTGATAAGGGGAGAATCGAGGTCGTGGAGTAAAGAGGCAGACCTCAGTGGCTGGTGTTGCCTGACTTAAACTCAGCTCTACCACTGCTTAGCTGTGTGACTTTGGAGGCCTTCCTTAGCCTCTCTGTGCCTCAGGCACTTTGCAATGAGAGATAATAGTATCGAATTTATGTGCTGTTATAATTTTTAAAACTCTGGTATGTACAGCTGTCCCTTGAACGACATGAGTTTGAACTGCGAGGATCCACTTATATGCAGATTTTTTTCCCCAATAAGTACAGTACCGCACGATCAGCAGGTCGTTTGACCCGTGGCTGCTGAGTTGCGGATACAGAGGAACCTCAGTTACGGAGGGCCGACTATAAATCACGCTCGGATTTTCACGGAAGGTCGGGGCCCCTAACCCCCTGGGTAGTTCAGGAGTCGACTATATTAGAATTCTCATGATAAGCGTACATTTGACTTAAACGCTAGTAGCTGATTAATTAAACTTTGAATAGCCAACCTCCAGTAGGTTAGCGTGACTACTTAAGTCAAGTGTCAGTAGAACAGATCACAGAGGACTATGGTCTGAGAGATGAGATTTTCTCCGCCATTGCCTTTGGAACTCAAATGATGCCTTCTGCACTTCATCATTGCTCTTCCAGCCAAAAGGATTCTAATTCTTTTTTTTTTAATTTTTTAATTATTTTGAGATTTTTAATTGAAGTATAGTTGATTTACAAGGTTATGTTAGTTTCAGGTGTACAGCAAAGTGATTCAGTTATATATATATGTACATATATGTATATGTGTATATATATTCTTTTTCAGATTCTTTTCTCTTATAGGTTATTGCAAAATATTAATATAGTTCCCTGTGCTGTAGAGTAGAATTCCAATTTTTTACCCGTGTTGGCTGAGCTCTCCCTCTAAGTAAATTTAGTTGTGATTCCATTACCCGTTATTCTCACAGAGAGGGGCAGAGCAGCTGTACATCAAGATTCAGACATTTCGCCCGCAGTCCATTTCCCAGGACCGGTTAGTAGCCCAGTGCTGAGTTCCTCGGCCTCAGGGTGGTGATCCAGGAGACCACACTAGTTTAAACAGCAGAGACCTGCTTACAATGAAAAGTAAATAGGATCTTGCCTTGTTTGTTGCAGCTTAATTTGACCATGAAAAAAGTCAGGACTGGATTCTCAGAGAAGAAACGTTTTCAGGGGTTGTAGGTCAGAGGACAGTGGGACA